AAAGTTATTTTTAAATATTTTGAAAATTATTTTTAAACATTTTGAAAGTTATTTTTAAACATTTTGAAAGTTATTTTTAAACATTTTGAAAGTTATTTTTAAATATTTTGAAAGTTATTTTAAACATTTTGAAAATTATTTTTAAATATTTTGAAAGTTATTTTAAACATTTTGAAAGTTATTTTAAACATTTTGAAAGTTATTTTAAACATTTTGAAAGTTATTTTAAACATTTTGAAAGTTATTTTAATCTGTTTCAAAGCGGCCTGTTTGTGTTTTAGTTGTGTTCTGTAAGTCCAAGACGACAGACCAAAGCTCAGCTGTTTTCTCTTCGTGTCCTTCAGCTGTTTTGTGGACAAAGAGCCGAAGGACGTTTATAAACGAGACGTGGAATGTCTTCCAACTGTCCCACAGGAAATCCAATGGTTCTTTTGGGCCTTTCTGATCTGTGTTTGTGGTAAATGTTCATAAGTTTCAAGGCTGTGGCGGCCATCTTTGTGACCCCCTGACCTCTGTGTCTTGCAGCGCTGGGCCCACCTGACCAGTCCGGTCTGGGGGGCCCACCACCTGGACTACATGGCCCCCGACATCAAGTCACTGAGCTCTCTGTCCCCCGGCACTGAAGACAACAAGGTCATCATCTTTGAGAGCGTCATGTAGGCCAGACGCAGGCCGACCCACCTGAGACAAGATGGCCGACCTCGCACCACTGCCGGGACTGATGAGCAGGCTCCGCCCACATCGACCGGTCCACATCATCCCAGAACTTTTAACCTCCTCCTGGACCTGTCCTCGTCTTTCCCAACAGAACGTCTTCAAGCTGGCAGCTGTCCGGGTTCTTCACATGTGAAAACTTGGGTCCTGCTGGTTCTTCTGGTTCTGCTGGTCCTGCTGGTCCTGCTTGTTCTGCTGGTCCTGCTGGTTCTGCTGGTTCTGCTGGCCTTGTTCGTTCTGCTGGTCCTGCTGGTCCTGCTGGTTCTGTTGGTCCTGCTGGTTCTTCTGGTTCTGCTGGTCCTGCTGGTTCTGCTGGTTCTGCTGGCCTTGTTGGTTCTGCTAGTCCTGCTGGTTCCTGCTTCTTCAAGGATGCTGCAGACCAAGGACAGTCTTCCTGTGGACTCAGCTTGTATCTGGGGGGGGGGGGGGGGTGCAGGTAATAAAATGCGCCGTCAGTCTTCTTCCAGACCAACTGACTGATCCACTTCCAGCTCTCCGACCCGTCAGAACCCAGCAGAACTTCTGTCTGAATGACTGCAAATAAAACCAACGACGAGCCTGTCGACTGGACCACGAGTCCGTTTCTACATTAGTGAGGCGACCCGGAGAGGACCCTCTGACATCAGAACATCTCAGAACCATCTCAGAACCATCTTAGAACCTTCTCAGAACCATCTTAGAACCTTCTTAGAACCATCTTAGAACCATCTCAGAACATCTCAGAACCATCTTAGAACCATCTTAGAACCTTCGCAGAACCATCTCAGAACCTATTCCTGATCACAGAAGTGGACTTCTTGCTTCTGGTCCAGATCATCCGTTTGCACTCATTCAGACACTTCTGCTGCTCTATGTGGCATTAGGGGAAAATACCAGCCGTCCCTGAACGCACCACGCTGACAGGGACTACATTAAACCATTTGGCGCATCCAGCTGATCCCAGAACAGATTCTCTGTAAGCCCAGGCATGTGGACCGGGTCAGAGGTCAAAGTTTCGGTCTCACACGGACCTCAGGTCCAATCAAGTGCCAAACTCATCCTGCTGGGCTGATCCCAGAACTGGATCCAGGCTGCCAAAACCGACTCTTTTTTTATGGTTCTAGCCCGTCGATGCTACATGTTCCCCGGACCGGCCCGGCCCGCTGACTGCAGCAGCTCCGGACGGGTTTCAGGTTCAGCTGAGCCTGATTTGGGTCCAAGATCTTCCAGGAGCACCTTCAGTCAGCTCATTATAAATGTTATCTGTCAGTTTCTAATATTTATGATCAGTCGGTCCAGATGATTCCAGGAAGCAGCGGAACCAGCTGGGGGGTCGGATCAGAACCGGGGGGCTCACCGCCCGCCAAGCGTTGCCTTACATCTTACGTCTTAACTCCAGAACCCAAACCCCCGAGCCCTGCAGGGCCTGTCCGGTCCATGGCTCTGGTTTCAAATGTGTCCATTCAGCAGTCGGCAGGGGGCGTGTCCACAACTCTGTCTCCTAGCAACAATTCAGCATCAGTCCACGGTGGGAAACGTTAGAACGTCCATTTGCACTTTCAGAGGAATCGTGATAAAAATCCATTTTTGTTTTAAAGATTGTAAAAAAAAAAGTTTATTTTCAAGAGACTTTTATTTTGCTGATACGTGTAACAGATATAACTATATTATTTATAATATAATATATTATATTATAAACAGATGATCTTTGAGTTAACTATATTTGATCCAGTATTGTGTGGAAAGGAGTTTCGGCTGATTGTTAGCATTTAGCTGTTTAACACAAGCAACAAGCCGCCCAAAGCTTCAGGCTACCTCACTTCCTATTCAGATTTTCAAAATAAACATCTCTCAGCTTTTTATGCAAACGATGTCGGCAGCAAGCAGGAGGATTGTAGGAAACATTAGCCAGTTTCCTCCTTGAGTTGCAGCTCTGAAGGTTTCTCCGGGATGCTGTAAAACACTGAACCAGACACACTTTATAAGCAGAACATGGGCGGGCGCCGCCACGCCTTCCAGCTGCTCTCTGATTGGCTAAAGTGAACAAGCTGCAAGGGGCGGAGTTTACCACAATGCAGTGTTAAAGCTGGCGAGCTCAGCGTGAAACGTTTAAAGTGCTCAAGTGTTTTCAGAGTTTCAGCTTTAGACCATTTTTAGCTTTTTACTGTTTTTCTGTTTTAGAATCAGTGTTTTCCCTCTCAGACCTCCCACGGATCAGATTTAATCTGCGAGACTCGTTTGGTTTGTTTTTATCTTCAGCTGGAAGATTTAAACGCATTAGACGCGAGTTTGACTGTTTGACAAGTGAACAGATCGCGTCATCATCAGCGTAGAGTGAGAGCATCAGACGTTACATCTCATGACCAGAACCTGCTTCACATCTGATCAAACTTATTTCAGAGTAACTTCAGGCAGCACGCTTTTCAGATTATTTGGGTTCAGATTAAACCTCCAGAAATTAATTAAAACAATACATTTTAAAATGAGCCTCTTCATGATGATGTGCTGAAAGTTTCTGAACATTTGAGTTTTTCATTAAAACACTTTGATTAAATGTGGACAAATCAAAGAAGGGATTAAAAAAACTAAAGTGATAATCTGAACTCACTGGGTTCAATCTGAGGTCCAGCTTTTGTTTAAAATGTTGTATGTTAAATCCTGAGTGTTTAACGAGACGATCGTGAAGATGAACTTTAATTAACTGATGTCTGAGATGTAAAGATCAAATGTTTTAGATGATTTAAATGTTGATGTTTGGGAGGGGAAGCTTTCATCCCACGCTGATGTTTCAGTCTCTGTGCTCTTCTTGACAGTACAACGGTCTGAGGTGGACGAGTTCAGGGTTACTGGACGAAACCACCAAAAACGCTGCTGTACCACAGAACAAACTGGAAACGGGTCAGTTCTGGAGACAAACTGACGCTGGGTTTGGGTTACGTTTTTAAATTGAGTCAAATGATTGGCAATATTTACACAAGTTTAAATACATCAAACATTTTAACTGATTAAATTAATCTGTAACAGTAATAATATCGCCGAACTGTCCGTCTGTTTCCAGCGCCAACCAATCACGTCACAGTTTACATGATGATGTCAGAGTGATGGCACGGGATATGCCACATGTCGGGGTCGGTCAGAGTCTTATGGAGGATGAGGAGACATCAAGGAGGAAAATCTGATCGAATCACATTTAAATAAATATCAATAAATTTCAGCTGTGATCCGATATTCACTATAATCGATATTCAGTGAAGTCAAACTGATGGCTGGGCTTCTGTTTCTGGAATATTTCTCACGTCTCTGAGTCCAAAGATTCTTACAAACCTTTAGATGTCCAGAGTAACAAAATGTAAAAATAACAAACTGCTCTCAGGAGAAGAAACCGGTGAGACGTGATTGGTTGGCGAGTTTGATTAAAAGGTCCAAACTGGGACAGCGTCTGTCCACCTGGTGGTCCTCTGGAGGTTCTGATGTTACTGTCCACCGTGCTCATCCTGGTGTCCTTCAGTGGACGGCGTCTGGTCCTGGACTCTAACCTCAGCCCAGCTTTATGTTTTTTAAATCCACCGTTTAAACGTTTCGCATCCCGAAAACCTCAAAGAAACGAAGAGAAGACAGGCCACTTTACTGCACGGAAAACGTGACACAACCGTTAAAACTGAGCGTAAGAGAAGCTGAGCTGATGTTGACCAGCAGGCGGCGCTCTACTCCGGTTCGAGGCTTCGAGAGTTCGGGCTGGAAACACAAAACGGTTGCGTTAAACACGAAATCATCTCAAAGTGTGAAACTACGTCGGTAATGGTAGCTAACAAATCGGCCAGCTAAACTACTGTAAAAACTTATGTTTTTAGCACTAAACTGATTTAATTATAGTTTATTAAACATTTTTTGTTTGTTTACATTTTTTGTCCTTTTTTACAAAGCTGCACAAACAATGTGTTCGCTACAAATGATGCTAACAGGCTAACAGCAGGTAGCCGGGTGTGTTGAACTAAACTAGCGCTGCAAGACCAAGCCGCGGAGTCAGGCTAGTTTTTACATTGGCTGAAGTCCGAGTCCAGATAGCGAGCTAAGCACAAACTGCTGTTTACAACTTCATGAATGTTTTATAACCTTCTTGTTGGAGCTAACCAAAACGCTGTGCGACGTTGGACGGCCTGACGTTGGATGGTCTGATGTTGGATGGTCTGATGTTGGACGGCCTGACGTTGGACGGCCTGATGTTGGACAGTCTGACGTTGGATGTCCTGACGTTGGACGGCCTGACGTTGGACGGTCTGATGTTGGACAGTCTGACGTTGGATGTCCTGACATTGGACAGCCTGACGTTGGAC